ATACAATGTTTCGGGGGTTTTGATCAAGAGTAAGGAAGTAAAATTGTGCTGTGTGTGTTGCTAAGTACTTGAGCTAACTGGGCAAGGGCCCAACCACTTAAGAACCAGTTTGAGTTTTTGACAGTTACATCAGATGACTCTTTCTGTGATAGTCTCCTAACATAATTACGCAGAAATGGAGAAGAACAGGGATGTTGATACCTTGGAGTAGTAGTCAATTGCAGTCTTAAAATCCTTATCTCTAAATGCAATGTCACCAAACTTCTTTGTGTTCAGCATCTCTTGCACTTGCTGGGTCCATTCTTGAAAGGATAACTTCAGTTTTTAAACATGCACAAGACGAAATACACTTATCTTAAAAAACAAACAAGTAGGACTTCATAATTTCAAAATACTTGAGCAAGTGCAGACACAAATAAAAATATTTGAAAGTATACATCAGATTTTGCACACACAATGAAATGTGAAGGCAAGTCCAAAGTCTAGTCAGCATTACAATCTCCTGAATTAAATACTGATAAAATGTGTTGTTATCCATGCAAAATTATTTGCCTTTTCAGACAAACCATGATGCAATTTATATAAGATAAGTCCACTTCTCTGCATAGCCAAGAGAAAACGTCACATATACACATTTCAGTCTAAATGCAAATGATGAGCCACAGCGTTTCTTCTTTCTTCTAACAATGCAATGATGCAAGGGTCGGAGTGGAAGGAACAGTGAGGAAAGTTCATCACAAATTGATGGCACAAGTCAGATGCAGCATAAATTTGAATGTTGGTTACCTCGTTTTCTGCACCCTCATCATCTTTATAACCTGTTTTGAGCAAAATATCATGCACCGCCGAAAGATCCATACCAGCACAGGCCTTCCCAAGTGGAGAATAAATGGTTGGCAGTACTGATGTGGCTTTTGTAATACCCATGAAAACTTGTGATGCAACCTGCATTAGGTTTCATCACAGGAATAGACGATGTTACTAGAAGCAATGAAGGGGGATGAACGGCAGGAAAAAGGTGCTCTAGCTACTCACCTCCTTTTGTTTCTGAAGAGGACCAACAGAAGACAAAAGATACTTTATGTTTGGTCTATCCCTAGATTCAAATTGCAGACACTTTGAAGCAAGATCAACCAATTTCGAAGCATCTTCATTAGCATACTGCCCTTCTAAGGAGGAATCCATCAGCAACAGTATATTCTTTCCCCTTATTAAATCTAGGGCCTAGAATTCCACACAAAAAAAAATGAGATGATAACTCATTGTCATAATAAATGCTGACATATGCAATAAACACCTAGAACTGTTTAATGATTCTGTGGTCATTATATGTTACAGAAAAATGAAGCACCTAGCAACAGCTGTCAGTTCAAGTTCATGGTTCAAGGCACACAGCAGTCCACCATTGCAAACATTGTACCAAAAGGCAGTGTGATGCAAGGGAATTGCTAAGAGATATTCCAGAAATATATTCTTCTTGAGAAAAAGCAAATGAAGCATACATGACTAGGAGGAATGTGTTTTCCGCTCAAAAGATCCAACAGGACAGTTCCATAGCTATATATCACACTCTCCGGAATTACTCTGCCTGTCATTCAAGCACAAATTATTCAGTGCAGTCCAAAATAGCATATTGTAAACAGTACTACTGTGAATAGTGTACGAAACCATGGATGATAATCCTGCAAAGAATTTACCGTGACCCAAAAGTATGTATTCAACATTTCAACAACAATCAGGAAACAAGAAGTTTTACAATTGTACTCTCAAGAGGCATACTAGCCCACAAGAGTTTTTAACTTCATCTAACTTTTACTGATTGGGCTTATAATTAGCTCAAATGATGTACACCTGGGTGCCAACAAGGGTATTGGCAAATCAAGAATGTAATAGTAAATTAGTAACCAGTAAGCACCAAGGGGATCTTACCGGTTCGCAGAAACTCTGGTGGAGTGTAAGCCAGGTTAGTACTATAACTTTTTCCATCACGGCTGTTCTTCATTAATCCAAAACTTGACAAGCGCGGATCACCTTCCTGATAGGGAATAGAAATTGATTACAACAGGTGAGGTATTCTGTAGGCAGCTACAATAATCAATTACAACAGGTGAAAAATCATGTAGGCAACTAGAGATGACAGTAAAATTTTCCAAAGTAAACCTTACAGGTCAAAAAATGGTTTTCACAGATGAAGAAAATGTAGTTATAATGAAAGAGCCAGCAGAACAAAAAAATGTAGTAAAAACTAGAAGCTGTCAACAAACTTGTTGTGTACCTCATCAAAAAGTACTCTATAAGCATTCAAATCATGATAGATTTTCCTGTTCTCGGCATTGCAATGGTCAAGAGCTTGCGCAATGAAATATGCAACCCTCAGCCTCATTTCCCATGGTAACGGCTGCTTATCCCCTGAACAAAAAGGCAGTGCACAGCAAAGTCAATCAAGGGAGACAAGGTGGACAGGACACACCCACCTAGTCAGGTCAAATGCAGCAATGGTGAAGGACATAAGGTGCATTAAGTCATTGTGTTAATGCAGAGGAGATTGAGATTCACGGTTGGTGTGATCCGCCCACGAGGATCATCATCAAGTACGTCACCATAGACGACACAACTCCAGCCCGCAAGGCCCGTATATAACAGAAAAAGGCTGGAGTACCCCTAGCAGGTGGACAGGGATAGGGAGGGATTGGGGGAGACCCCGGAGAGCACGTACAGTGGAAGAGATGCTTGGACAGGGTGTCGTTGGGCATGTACTCGGCGACGAGCAGCCTCTCGTCACCCTCTGCGCAGCAGCCGATGAGGTTGACGAGGCGCTTGTGCCGCACCTTCCCCACGCCCGCCGCCTCCGCCTGCAGCAGCAGCAGCAGCAACACTGCATCACATTGCGAGATCCAGGGCCGGGAGGAAATCACACGTAGCAAGCAACGGCAAAACCATACGTGGAACTGCTGCGGGTCAGGCCAGGAGAGGCGCGAGAAGCGCTTGACGGCGATGAGCCGGCCGCCGTCGAGGCGGCCGCGGTAGACGGCGTTGGGCGCCTTCTCGCCGCTCTCGGAGACGATGAGGTCGGCGCTGAATCCCTTGGTGGCGGCGCGCAGCTCGGCCAGCGCGAACTCCCTGAACACCGGCACCGTGCACTTCACCGCCTCCTTGTCGTCGCCGTCGCCTCCCCCGTCGGCGCCGCCGTTCGCCGCCTCTGCCATTCGATTGGACACAGCAAACCAGACGCAAGCAAGCAAGCGCCGCAGATTAGATGGATTCGGCGGGGTTAGGGTTTAAGCGGCGGCGGGGGCGGGGGCGTGAGGCTTACCGGGATCTGCAGGCTTGTCGGCTGGGAGCGCGGCGGCGTCCTTGGGCGGCAGGGGCCCCGCCACCTTGGACTGGAAGCACCCCATGGGCGGGAATGGAGATCTAAGATGCTTAGCGAAGCAAGAGCGATATGGTCGGTGGGAATGGGAGTGCGAGAGCGTGCGCTGAGCTCTGCTCCAGTCCAGCGCGGGGGAGCGTGGAATGGAGCAGCAGAAGTGAGCTCGTGAAGGTGGGGAGGCGGCAGGGCAGGAGGCAGGGCTCCGAGAGAAGCGCAGCAGCACACAGGGGTGGTGGGGATCCGGTAGGTGCGCCCGCAACACCAAGCATCCCCACCTCCGGCTTTCTTTCTTTTTATATAAAATTGAAAATAAATAAATAAATAAACCTTAATCTCGCCCTAGGTCTTATTTAGATGAGTGTTAGGAATTAGTATTTGACATTGTAGCATTTTCGTTTGTATTTGATAATTATTGTCCAATCATGGTCTAACTAGGCTCAAAAAATTCGTCTCGTAATTTACAATCAAATTGTTTAATTAGTTATTTTTTTATCTACATTTAATACTCTATGTATGTGTCTAAAGATTTAATGTGATAGAAAGAGAGTGAAAAAACTTGAAATCTAAACAAGGCCCTAGTACTTTTTTTCTAAAATAAATTTTCGTATAATTTAAGGTGGTGTGTCGTTTCGTCTGATTGAAACCAAACGGTTTCCCACGAAAAATCAGAGAGGGTGTAGTGTTTTTTTTTAATCATCTTCTTCAGAACAGAAAGTCGGAGAGCAATGGCAAGGGACCAAGGGGACGAATGGCATTGGCATGCAGCTTTTGGCCCTGTTTGCTTTTGTTATAATTCGTATTTTTGGGTTTGTCTTTTCAGTCGGAACAGTATTCTTCTCTTACAACAAATCCATCGGAACAGTGTTTCAGCTTGTTTTTCAGCGAAGCGAACGGGGCCTTTGGGCTCATGTTCCATAGACGCGACGAGTTTGGTGGTATACGAATTTTAAGAGACAAACACGTTGGTTTCTGCGGCTGATATGCCAGCTGATGCTGATTTATTATGAAAGAAAAATATTGTTTCACGACTGATAAGCAGTTCAAGCGAACAAAGCCATAACGTTGACAACTGTATATTTCCTGTTCGGATCCTTGCTGAATATATAATCATTTCGAGAAGCATAACCGATCTATTAGGGCCATGTTCACTTCTTTTATAATCCGTCTTTTTAGCTTTATTTTTTAATCGGAATAATATTTTTCTCTCACAGCAAATCAGCCGGAGCAATGTTTCAGCTTGTTTTTTCAGCGAAGCGAACGGGCCTACGAGTATACTGTATATATCAACCTATGACCACGTATAGGAGGAGTACCAAAGTTCCGATCCTGAGTCTGACTGCTGCCTTCTTTTTACTGCGGGAGATGATGCAAAGCTGCGTTAATGAGTACTCCGTACTCCTACGTACAGTAATCGGCAGCAAGCAAAACTTGCAAGGCCTGCAACAGCGCACACAGCACACGAGCGAGCGGCAGCGGCAGCAGGGGCGCAGCAGCATCTTCTTATATGAATCCTGCATCCAAACCGCGGGCAACGGATAGGGCCACGTCGCCCGTTAACTGTCAACCGTTGGATCGGGCGAGCCTAAGATCTGGACCGTTCAATGCGGGTTGGTTCGGGTCTGCTACCCGCTTAGTCGTCGTTCGCGAATTTTCGCGGGCCGCAAGCGGCGCAGCCCCACGAGCTGATGGCTGATGGGCGCCGCGCCGGGGGAGCAGCTGCTCGTGGAGCCGTGCTGCGCCGAGGTCCCATCAAGCTCGCGCCGTCGGAGTCGCGTGCTCGGGGGACGGCCGCGCACGCGCCGCAGCTCCACGCGCAGATGCGGCGCATCGCCACCTCGCAACCTTCGCTTGCGACGGCACCCTGCCGGAGCTCCGCCCCGCGCCGCCGCCTCCGCAGCAGCGCCGCCGCGTGCTCCGGCAACAGCGCGGAGTCGGCCCCAGCCATCTCGCTTGCGGGGCTCGGCGGCGCAGCACCGCAGCACCATCGCCGCGGCACGGCCCCGGAACAGCGTCCTGGGGTGGACCTGACAGGCTGCTGATCCTCATCCCCATCCACACCGCCCAAATCTGGTGAGTTCATCAAGAAATCCTCCCACTCCTCCGCCGTTATTTGTCGATCCATCCTCTCATATTTGTGCCCACGACGCTATTTCCAATGGATTCGGATTCGGCCGCATCGACAATCCAAATCCCAGGTCACCTATCCATGCCGACATGGCCACCGCTGCTGCAGATATGGCGGACAGTCGGACACGATCAACATGGACGGACCGACGCAGCCGTGCCGTTCCTTGGGTTACCTAACATCCGTTCCTTTCACTGCTGCATCGCCTGGCTACAGCAAGATCCACTCCGAGATTATGGAGTGCCCCAATTTTGCATGCTGACGAATGCAATTTCTGTTCTGGAAAAAGGTTAGTATTCTTCGAAGCCCCACAATCCTTCTCCTTTCTGCCTTTTTTGTTGGGTTATCACAAGTTTACTTTCTCATCTACAGACTACAGTCGGTTCAGATCTCTGCCATATGGAGCAGTTCAGGCTAGTATTTTTTCAAGCCCCACAATCGTTCTCCTTTCTGCCTTTTTTTGTTGGGTTATCACAATCTTACTTTCTCATCTACAGTCGGTTCAGATCTCTGCCATATGGAGCAGTTCAGGATAAGCAGATGAGGTATATCTTTAAACCTCATTCGCTTTTAGTGCCGTTGAATATTTCATATTTGTTCATAGCTGCTTGTAGTTGTAGCTGTTTCTGAAAAACCAATTACCTCAACCTTTTAGCTGTTATGTAATTTAGAAATTGCCTTTGCTATTCCTTTCCACTAACCATTTTGTAATCAAAGGTTTCTGATTAAATTTCAGTTCATTTTGTAATTCAAGGTTTCTAACTACATTCCAAATTTAATTTTTATTGATGATCTCCAGTTGTACTCTAGGTTTCTGAATTTGCAATTCGTATCCTGATCGTGTTCGATCCTCGGGCAGAGATTGAATTCTCAACGGTTTCGAAGATCTAGAGCTTCAAAGTTTTGTAAATTTGATACACAATTAGGATCCAGGTCCAAAGCTTCACAATTAATTTCCCTTTTCTAAAATTGCGTTTGGTCACCTGTTTCTTCAGGCCAGCAGAGCAGCGAGCGCCACACAGGACCGTGCGGCAAGGCCGCGCTGCTTTCTAGTGCAGCCAGAATGGTGATCGCCTCCATAGCAGCAGCATGCAGCCATTATTTATGGTGATCGCACTCCATGACGAAAATTTACGATCGCCCGCGTCCGGGTTCTGCATGACTGCCGCGTCCAGCCCAGCCAGCCAGCCAGGAGCCGGAGCCATCGATCAATCGATGCCGTCGCAAACGTCGCTGTCGCAGCTCGACACGTGGGCTTCCTGCAGCGCCACGCTGTTCTCCGTTCCTCGCGGCCCCACCGTTGCCTCCACCGGCGGAGGCCCACCCGTCAGGGGCGACGCGACGCGACTACGAGCGGGCCCCACAACCTGTGGCTGCCCCGCCACATTCAAGTCAACTCGGCGTCCACACTAGCAGCGCTGGGTCGGCGATCGGCTTGTGGCTGGTCCCATCAGTAGCTTAGCTAGCGATTGTCTTTATAGGCCTCGTTTAGATTGCCTCCAAATTTTAAGTTTTTTTACTTTTTTTTATCACATTAATTTTGAATCTTTTGATTTGGGTTGGTTAAATGTAGGTAAAAAAATATTTAATTAATAAGATGAAAAAATCACTAGACCGATCTTTTAAATTTTTTAGCAATCTAAAAAAATTTATCGTCCACAAGCAGCGCTGGGTCGGCGATCGGCTTGTGGCTGGTCCCATCGGTAATTTACAATCTAAACAAGTCCTAGTGATTCCGAACCACAGGGGGCACCAAATACCGTTGCTACGTAGACTCAGTGCTTGCTTGCTGGGATTATAAAAATTAGCAGCTAAATTTAGCATATGTGGATCTAAATAGATCTATTAATTATTAACTAGAGAGTTGCTTACTATTAGTTTCATTAGCAAGTTAGAAAATGCTAATATATGCTAATAGTTCATATACACCTTCAAAACTCACTATCTAACCTCTGTTAGGTGGATCTAAAATTAGCAGTTAGGTAACTAATTTTTAATGTTAATGGATCCAAACATGCTTTTAATTCACTATGCTTCAATTTGATTATCCTTACCTACGAAGGTTTGAGGTCTTTCAAAGGATTATCTTTACCTAACACGAGGTACTGCTGCTTTGGAGTATTTAACAAATCAAATTCCGCCACTAATTGGGCCTCCGGGTTGTACAAGTATATCATTTGGTCAAGATTGGGGGGCCTGCTTTGATTCCCAACTAGAGGGGCAAAGGCTGGAATTATTTAACTAAAATCCTCCGGAAATTAGGTAGTATACCTTTATCTTGAAAATAATTGGCATCGTGGAGTTTTCACATACTTCCTTAGTCCTAAATAAATCAACTTTTGGAATTATTCTAAGTCAAAAAAATTTAAACTTGATCAAATTTATAGAAAAGAGCTAGAATTGTTTTATCTAAAATACTCCGAAAATTAGGTGTACTGCCTTAGTCTTAAAATACTTGGGATCATGGAATTTTCACATTTATTAAGGAAGATGTAAAATGATCTTGGTTGCCCTATATTAATGAGCTCCTGTTGTGTTCTTAGGTATACACCATTCGAAACCCTCAATTAACAACTTATTTGGATCCATTAGCTACTAATAGTTAGCTAGCTAATAGGTTAGCTAGTTTTTTTGAGGGCTAATAGGTTAGCTAGTTGGGCATGCAGCTAACAATTAGTTAAAACTATTAGCTAGATCTATTTGGATCTAAAGAGCTAATTATTAGCAGCTAGCTATTAATATTGGCTGCAACAAATCTTTGGAGTATTATTAGCAGCTAACTATTAATACTGGCCGCAACAAATTGCTAGTTGGGCATGCAGCTAACAATTAGCTAAAACTATTAACTAGACCTATTTGGATCTAAAGAGCTTATTATTAGCGGCTAACTATTAATATTGGCCGCAGCAAATCTTTGGAGTATTTATTAACAATCTTTTAGTTCCATTATGTATCCATGTGACAAAACATTATTTTTAATAATTCTTATAAAGGCTTAAATGCCAATTATTTTAGGGCATGCGAAGTAATTCCTTTTAAATTTCTAAGCTCCACAAAGTAAATCTTTTTTAAAATTTGTTTTCTACGCTCTAAACAGACTGGTAACATTAGATTTTTCCAATTTGCATGATTTAGAGCAACTTCAATAGACTCTTTATATCCTTCTTAATTGATATGAATATAGATTTTAGTAAAAGGCGTCCTCCATCGGTATCTTTAATTAGATCTCCAAATATAACCATCCTCTATTCCAAATTTCTTGCTAGCCAAATATAGAGAGCGGGGCTAGCTCTCTGAGTGCGTACAAGATATGGAGAGATTGTTGGAGGGTGGAAAGATATAGATGACGTTTTTTTTATTCAAGTGGCTCTCAAAATGACAATTTAGAGGGAGTCTAAGAAAAACTCTTGGACACATCCTTATTTAGAGAGTCATTTAAATAAAAATCGCTTTCTATATGTCTCTTCACCTCCAACTATTTTTCTATAACTTGGTGCATACCTTAGGGCACTTCTAAGAGACTTTCTGTATAGCTCTTTATTGCAGAATTTAGAAAACAAACAAAAAAATGCTCTAGTAGACTCTATAAATCACTCTTTATATTTTCCCCTCTTCATCAAAACCACCCTTCTCGCTCTTCATTTTTAGAAAGGCTACATGGCTCTCTAGATGCAATATTTGATAATTTTCTCATGATTTTTCCCATAAGAAAAACTATGATAAGCTATTAGAGTATAGAGAATAAAAATTGAAGAGTCTGTTTGAGACACAAGAGATATAGAAAGAGGATATTTGTTAGATGATTCTCTAAACAGAGAATTAGAGATTGAAACTTATAGAGGTTTTGGAGTTGCTCTTAGAGAGATAATTTTGCTCTCTATATTTGGCTAGCGAGAAACTAGAAATAATTAATGAAAGACTTTTTCACCAAAATCTTTATTTTCTAATCGATACATAATATAAAGAGACTATTGAAGTTGCTCTTAGTGCAACAAAAAAAAAAAAAAAGTCGGTTGCCAACTCAGTAAAATTGATGAGGTCAACCAGATAATAAAACCGAGGCTCGAGAAGTCGAGTTTGCACTTTGCAGCCTTGCAGGGGATCCTAGGTGATAACGCGAACCTAGCAGCTGGTACATCATCGTGGTAATGCACTTTCGCGTATGGTGATGATACGAGCTACAAAAGGTGGGTCCCATGCCCAATCAGCAGGGGCACCACATCCGCTGCCATGGTTATCACCTTGACATGATGTCATGATGCGCAGAGCAAAGGCTAGAAAGCATCACGACACCACAACAATCACCATGACCTCCTGTCTCAGCAGAAAAGTGGTCAGACTTTGGCCTTCTGGCCATGCATGTGTCGTCTTGCACGTACGATATCATTATTACAACAGTTTTAACTCAACAGTTCTCGGAGTAAGAAGGCCCCGTTTAACAACATTTACCATCCTATTGGTGCTAGCTCCTTTTGTAACAAGAAACTAAAGTCAAGTTTCACAAGAAAGCAAGAGCAGTAATGGTGAACTTATAACACTCCAGTGTGAAACAACAAGTGAAAATGAACGAATACAGAGTCAAGATTCAGAGTCTACACGTGAATTCGACGCAACATATAACTCGACGTAGCAATCTCCTGGTAAAACATTAAAATTACTCGCATATGATGATGATAACACTTCTTGGCGGCGCTATCAAAATTTCTCCGACGACCAATTCCCACAGGCACATCAGACCTGAACTTTCCTCACTTGGATGTGGTGAGTGGATTCCTCTCTCCAGATTGAAGTCACTCCGCTCTGAACAAGAGTGACGTAGTCTCCCTTCTTCACATATTGTGCTTTCTGTTCAACATTCAATCCATGAATAATCAGTAAAAATAAAAAAACGAAAGGACAAAAAATTCAAGTAAAACAGAGATGTGTTTATCTGATGAACTGACTGCAAAAGATCAGCAATGAAACTTCACAGCACATGGCCTTACCAGCAAGCTGCT